TATAAGGTAGATTTCTGACTGTAGGGGGGCGGTCAGCCCTCCTAATCCCCGCATTGTTCAAGGGTCAACTGTACACAACTTATTAGTATTGCAAAAGCCTTCCATTAGTATTGCAAAAGGTCTCCAACATGCAAACCAGGGCCATAAGGAGGCACTAGCTTCTGCACAGCTGATGAACAAAAATGAGAAAGTGTGACATTAGCAAGTGTTGGAGACGGCGTGGCTCCGTCCGCTCTCATGCTCGTGGCCGACGGGGGGCAGGTTGGTGCAGCCGCTTCAGAAAACAGCTGGGCAGGTGCCCCAAAGCTGAACATGCACACATGCTACCTAACTGACCAAGTTCACCTGCAGGTCTGTACCTAAGAGCAATGTTTGCACATGTATAAGATTAGGTACAGGATGCTCATAAAAGTGCTGTGTACATCACGTGAGGAAGCTGGTCATCTTTCCCCCGTCCCCAGAGACACCGCTGACCTTTCTTGCTCCATGTAAATCACTCTTGTGATCTGAGGCTGTGGGACCAGCAGTCACCCAGAGAGAAGCACAGTGGAGAAACTGTGCCCCTGCCCAGGTGACGCAAGAAGAGTTTTTTCTACCATATGACCCGGCAATCCCTCTGCCGGGTATACGCCCAAAGGAAACGAAATCAGCACCACATCTGTGTTCTTCACAGTAGCCAAGATGAGGAAACATCCTGAGCGCCCGTCCAGGGATGAATGCATAAAGAAATCCTGGTGTGCATACACAATGGAATATTATTCGGCCTTGGAAAAGAACCGTGGATGGACCTGGAGGCTATTATGCTGGGCGAAATGAGCCAGGCACAGAAAGAAAAGAGCCACATGGCCTCATTTGTTTGTGGAATATAAAAAAAGTTGAAGCCATGGAAGCAGAGAGTAAAAACGAATTGAGGTGGGGAGGCGGGTGACATGGGGAGATGCCGGTCTAGGGGCACAAAGGGGCAGTTATGTCTGAGGAATAAATCTCGAGATATCAGGTAAAGCACAAAAAAATGCAGTATTGTTTACATTATCAAGAAGCCATGAACAACCCAAATGATCGGTAACGAGAGGGTTGCTGAGTAAACTGTGGTATGTTCGTAGAATAAGACATTACAAAGGAGCCAAGACAAATGACAGCAACCTGCGACAATACGATTATTGACATTATTAGTCCTGCAAATAAACATTCATGACATCTTTGCTATAAAGTTAAGAACAAGATACATACACATACACACTTTTTGGAAAACATATAATACATATAAAAAACAAAGAGACTAGACAAAAAAGAAAGCAAGAAGATACTGAACACAATCCAGGAGGGTTGGGAGAAGCAGGGAAATGGGGGGGGGGAATCTCTAAGGTTATATGTAAGTTATATTCTTATCGGTAAGGTTCTAGTTTTTTGGGGGGCGGTAGCTTCATGAGTTCTTTCTGGATTTTAAATATAACAAGCTAAAGAAATAAAAACAGGATCAACTGTGAGCATGTTTCATGAACCAAGAGTTATGGTGGCTCTAACTCTGTGCGCCAGTGGTCCCATAAAAAACAACTCCTGTTAAACGAAAGTTAGACTAGGACACAGGAAACGAGACTGTAGATTAGAGGGAGCTTGGGAAGCCTGAATCTGGGTGACAGACTGAAGCTTCAGTCTGAAGGGACAGATCCAAGGTTTGGAGCACCAACTAAAAGCCACATACAAAGGTATCTCCTAAACTGCTCGAAGGAAGAAGTTAAACAGACCTACCTGGAGAATGTCTTTCCTTTTACAAACATTTTCTTCCATTTCAAAAGTACCCTCTAGCACCACTCAGCGAAACCAGGGAGGAGGCCAAAGATCTTCAACAACTGAGGACAGGGGTCCTGCGGCTTTTCAAGATAACTAAGCTCTCTCGTCTGCCCCAGAGACTCGTCTCACACTATCTTATTCCTACAAGGCATTAAATGTGAAATAAGGCCTTGCTTGGCGGTTTGCCATGAAGGATACTTTTACAACTTCTGTAACCTATGCTCATAGCACCCAGAACACTGTAATGCATATTACAGTGCTTTGAGGCTTTGGCCATTTCCAGGCAATGAGTCTACTTTTTTAAATAGAAGTAATCTCTATTGTTATTCCATTATCATATAAACACAAAAGCTGGGTCTGCTTTTCAGACTCTGTAGGATCTAGAAGAAACAGTCGCCTGTAACTCCACCCTCTGGGCTATGTTCTACTGCTCTGGCACACAGTAGGCACTTCATGAATGTCTGTCGAGTAAACGCATTGTTTTCCAAATAATTTTGAAGACCCTGGACTCCGGGAGAAAACACTTGTTGAGTGAAACATTCTTTCTATATATCACATTTTATACCACAAAAAGTGACCTAAAAAATGTCTTTATGGGGCTCTGTCAAAAGAATAGTTGAAATTTGGGACCGTCTCAGGAAATTAAGGACACAGCCACTATATGTGAGATCAGCCGCAGGTGCTGTGGCAAGGATATGCCTTCCAATATATACAGAATCCAGGGAGTCACAAAATAACATCTCCTCTCCTCCCGATTTAGCAACAGTGACCAAGTGATGACAAGGTTAAGACAAAACCCTCCTACATCTGGCCCTGGCCGGGTAGCTCAGTTGGTTAGAGCGTCGCCCCTCTATGCCAAGGCTTCGGGTTTGATGCCCAGTCGGGACACATACAAGAAGCAACCAACAAATACATAAATAAATGGAGCAACAAATCCATGTTTCTCTCTATCTCTCTCAAATCAATAAATAAAAATTTAAAAAGCCCTCCTCCGTGAATGACCATCTCGGTAAGGTGACAGTCAAATTCTCTGAGTCACTTTGCTGTGTGTATTGAATCCGTTAACCAAAGGACAGCAGCAGGACAGACACGGGGGAAAGTGGAAGCAGCAATTCCGACCTTTCCCATGAGGTTATCGGTCAGAGGCAGGCCCTGGGGAGAGGACAGGGCCAGACGAAGATGAATCACATTCCACCCACTCGGGGCTCACTATCTGAAAGGAGCAAACTCTCACAAGCTTTGCAGAAGATCACAACCAGGTCCGTGCATAAACACAAGCTCCAACTTTCCCAACTGAGGCCCTTTCCATCGAAAACAACAACAACGAAGCCTCTGGGCTACCGCTCGCCCGGGCCGCTCCTTCCTCCACCAGCCCCACCTGCCAAGCGACTTCATGCCTCTTGCCACCCAAGCACGTGCTCACGTCCCCCTAAATTACTCGCTCGCTGCTTTGCGAGGTTCCAAGCGTTAAGTCATCTCACGTGCGCGCGTTCTGCCCGCGCAGCCCTCGCCAAGCTCCTTCTCAGCTCCGTCACGCTGCTGGCTTGACCCGACTTGTATCTGCTGAAATGTGAAGGCACCTCGGGCGTAAACAGACTTCGCCAGGCCGGGCTGCCAGGGAGAGGGTGGGGCAGACCCAGGAGAGGCGCTTCTTTTGTCCTTTGCTACCCAACAACTCCCCACACTACAAATGTGTCGCCAACCTATGCTTCGTAGGCCTGTCCCCGCTGCCTCCATTCAGGGAAAACAAACAACTCACCTACCAGCGCACGCTCCGGGAGTCTGGGATCAGCATGTCAGTACTGGGTGATATGGCATCGTGAGTCCTTCAGGCATGTCCCCTTTGTCTGTGTTTGCACCCGAAAACAAAGCAACAGAGGAAGAAATGAGGGTGTGTGCAGAGTTTCATGATAAATCACAATAAAAACAGGTTGGCCACCCCCCCCCCCACTAAACTGTTAACAGTATTTTCTTAAGAAAAGCCTCTGAGGCATAATTTACATACAATAAACTGCACATACCTAAAGTTTACACTTTAATGGTTATTGGCATCTGAATATGCTGTGAAACCGGCAGGATAGAATTTCTAATAACCACGTGAGTGTGGCCAGTTTTTTTCTTCAACTTGGAAGCCCTTTAGGTTGTAAGGGAATCTGACCTCACCTAGGAACCCAGGGCCTGCCATGGGGTCACTTGTAGTATTTAAGAAAGCAATAACAACCCCTCGCCCCCCTCCCCCCAGCCCACCTCTTCCGCAGGAAAAAAAAATCTCTGCAACCAACAAAAGACTTGCGACTTGCAGTCTGACTCACCCTCAGTCCTGGGGCGCATACTCGTCTGATAAGAGGCAGTCAATCTGTCCTCTCTTTGTTTGTAATGAGTCATGCTGGAAATCAGGCAGCTATTTTTTTTTTCTCTCCCATGTCACGGTTAGGCAAGAGGCAGAGGCAGATACACCCCCATTCAAAGTGCAGCCATCCTTCAAGTGTCCGGTGACTCCCGCGTAGCCAGGGTAGGACCCGTGACTCAATGGGGACGCCTACCGTCGGGGACGAGCAGCGCACGACTTGGCGTTGAAACCTGCCTCGCTTCCCACACCTCAAGGACAGATCTCAGCGAGCTGCAGATTTGCCAGAGGAATGGGAAGAAACAGCTGACTTTTTGTGTGTGCATCCTGTTCCCTCTGCCCCCCAATTATTAGTGACAGAACGGGGCGTGAGTCATAACTTTCAGGCTATGCCCACACCGGAGCAATTAACCACATAATTGCTTCAATGATGAACCTTCTCCAGCTGCAGCCGCCCCTGTGGTAGAGCTCCGGGCAGTGAGCCAGCAGCACTCAGTGGTATGAATTGTGAAGGCCCCAGGTTTAAAAAGCCAAAGTTGGGATTCTTTTAGGCATTGGCACCGATTCGAAAGTCCTACACACACGTCCTGATGGGAGCGTGGGGGATGTTTCACCCAGCATCAATGTCACCATCAAGTCAGCATAAAGTAGATTCATCTGTGGTTTCAATGTATTATGGCAAAGGGCTGTTTTGAGAACAAATCACCATAGCAACTCAGCCACCCCGGTTACAGTAAGCTCAGTACCACCGAAATAAAAATCCTTACTAAGCCTGAGGATTGGCTAGTGACTTTCAGTTTCCAGGAGACATTCGCCAGCACATATTTTGGTTTCATAAATTGCTGAAAAGTGATGCTTTAGATAATAATAAAACTATACAGCCAGGTTACAAACAGAGGGGCTCCAGGCCACGCCCTCCGCCGGCTTAAACACGAGCAGGCCTCACTGCCGAGCAGCAGCATTTTGTTGTTAAAATAGAAGGCTTCAGAGAAGGGCCCAGTGTTACTTAACTGTGACTTACCAGTTCCGTCTCACGTCGGAGGTACATGGTACTGTAAAGGCTGGTTTTCAAGACAAGACAAATCAATACAAAAATAGGTTTTCTGTTGACGTGAAAGGAAAAAAAGCAAACCCACTCTTTTTTTCCTCCACCCCCAACACTGGGTTTTGGTTCCATGAGTTACCTGCTCTCTTTCTAGCATCTTCCTTCTCTCACCCCACTCTGTTCCTTCCTTGTGATCACCAGCAAACAAAGTCACCTTTGACGTGCCACTCTGCTCACCCACTCTCTCTTTCTGCATCCACAGTCTCGTGGCTTCCCAGCCCCTCAGTCGGGCGTGTGCCCGGGGGCTCCCTGGCCCATCATCCAGGGTGCACGGAGATCTCTGCAGGGCTGTACCCCGAGGCCACCAGTGTTCATGCTGTTCAAGTCCTAATCCTGTGAGTCACTCCCTTGAAACTCTCTCCTGTTTTTGTTCCTGGCTGTTGCATGATTCAGAATCTTCTAATAGTCTGCCTCCTCTATCTTCTCACCTCCTAAATTTAGGCACTTTCTAAAGTTCTGCCGGTTTCGTTTTCCTTTGCTGTTAACCAGTTATCTGATGCCTTCGATTCTCACTCCTATTCAGACGCCTACTTCATCTTCAGCTGAGACTGTCTGCCTGATTATTGGTGACCTCGAAGTCAGCTTGATCAAACTGAACTCAGTCATCTTCCCAGCACAGGCAGGTTCTTCTCCAGACCCTGCTTCTGCGAACAGCTCGGTCGTTCCCTGAGCCTAGGCTTAAAAGCTCTGTGTTATGTAGACTCTTCCTGGGCATATATTTTTATATTTTCGTTGCCACATCCCACAGACTGTCTTCTGATGCTTCTTTATGTCCTTTCCATTTTCAAAGCTATAATCTTAGCCCTGGCCATCGTCACCTGTGGCCTAGATAGTTACAATGGCTTCAAAGACGGTCTTTTCATCTCTGGTCCTTGCTTCCAGGTAGCAGGTATGGTAGAAAGAAAGCGGGCGTGGCTTGGCAGTTGAGCATCGACCCGGGATCTAGGAGATCGGGGTTCGATTCCCGGTCAGGGCACATGCCCGGGTTGCGGGCTGGATCCCCAGTGTGGGGCCTGCAGGAGGCAGCCGATCAATGACTCTCATCATTGATGTTTCTCTCTCTCCCTCTCCCTTCCTCTTTCTGAAATCAATAAAAACATATTTTAAAAACAGAAATACTTGCTCTTCTTTAAGACGCATCTTGAATTCTGCCTTCTCTCGGAGGCCATTCCTGATTCCTACAACTGAATGTGACATCTTTCTCTGACCTCCAGGGCATTTTTATTATTCCGTTTGCTCATGTTCTTTGTGTGACTTCTCTTTACAGCAAGACTTGGGGCTTGATGGCAGGGACCATGCCAGCCTCAAACCTGGAGCCCTCTGCCCTGTGCAATGACTGCCGTCTGCCTAAAATAAACCTGCCCAATCACAGTTCCCTCAGTCTAGGAAACCATCTTTTTCCAGACGCTTCTGTTGAGTGTCACCCTTCCCAGAAACTGCTCAGGGAAGCAAACCTCTTTCAGTGAGGGGCATTCTCTCATTAACACCAAATTCTGGAGCTCATAACTACAGAAAAGTGCCCCCAAATATCTCATATAAATGGTGCCACCATTTCAGTGGACCTGGCTTATTTATTTTCGTGAGTCTCTGGAAACCCCCTTGGTTGAAATCAGAAGTTGATTTTGTTTACCTATCTCCTGGGCCCTGAGGGAGCAACATTCTTTTGATGTACGAACACCTTCGTTATACAAATGGATCCTTGGGAATATCTAAAATTCCTTTTCTTTTGATTCATGTGTCAGTCTCTTTAACATGGATAGTCAATGGCTACACAGAAAAAACCCCCTCAGATGAATCAGTTGTGCTTCTGAAAACAAAATGAGAAGCAGGGGTCCACTGAGTCAGCATCTTAAAATGAGTCCACGGTTCTTAAATATTTGATCAATTTATAGTCTTTAATATTGAGATCTCTATAGTCTTTAATATTGTCAAAGTACAGTTCTTAAATATATATGTATATATGTGCAGATGTATGTTACCCATCTTCTAGTTTACAAAGTTTAACTTTAGGATGAATGAGGCTGGTAATATGGTCTTATCGTTATGAGAGCTCACACTGCCAATACCATTTGCAAAGTATAGTTTTCAAAAAGTTACAAACATGACTCATACAAATAGAAAAAAAAGGTCAAAGATTTTATTCAATTCAATTAATGAGGAAACCAGTAAGATGTTAAGATGGATTCAAAGGAAAAGTCAGGGACCCAGAGATTTGTAGTTGGTCAATCAAAAGGAATGCAGAAATAAAAATACAAAACTAATTGTCCCATGAGGCAATACTTTTGCGACACTATTGGACAAGAACCACTTACTTGTACCAGTTTCCATCCCCGCCTGAAGGCAGAGTGTTCCTATGAAACCTTCCATAAGCTGAAATGGCATAAAGCACAGAAGCAAATACCATTAATTTATATGGAAAAAATTTTGAGCACCCCCAGACCCAAATTCGACAGATGCACACCTTTATTTTGTGCAACACGATCGAGACAATTATGTCCAGTTTTTCGATAAGTGCAGTACCCTTTCAACTCTCTCAGGCTTTTTCAGACACCTTAAGGCCTCATCTTGCTAATGGACGCACAGAATGGATCCAGACGAAGCTCAGGTGCTCACAGACACAGCTCAGAGCTGTGGCCGGTGGATGCTGACAGCTTGGTGATTCCTTGGGGAAGGAGCTGATGGGGCCACTCTCACTGCTGGGTCACCTGCTGCCTCTGTGACAGCTTGCTGCAAAACAAATGCTAAACGCTATTTTTGCTTTTTGCCTTTTTCTGTATAAGTGAAAATCTTTGGATTTCTTTCGGTTAATGAAAACAGGTACTATGAAGGTCTTTTGCAAAAGCGAAGTGGCATAATGTGAACTTTTGAAAAGTGGGAGATACTTGTATTGCTGTGGGGAGGGGATTCTACCAGTTAACCTGCCTTACAAACTTGCAAAATAGCTTCCTCATCAGTCAGCAAAAGGTTTGCAGCCGTAGAAAACCAGATAATCCCCAGGAAGCAGGCTATGAGACACCCAGTCTTCACAGAAAGGGTACCCAGTATTCCCTTTGACCTCTTTCCGAGTTTTGCATACTTGCTCTTGACACTGTTAGCTAAGAGGCGCATGAAAACAAACAGATCTGCTTTTTTTTATGACATATCTGTAATTAGACAGATAGAAGTGGACACTAGCCAGTCTCTCATGCTCTCCTCTCGCCACTCGCCACCAGTGTTTCATCAGGGACCATGGAGTCAGACTCTAGGGTTCAATGGTGGTTCCATCATTTACTACTGGGTGACCTTAGGCAAATTACTTAATGTCTCTGTGCCTCAGTTTCACCAGAGTAAAAGAGGAATTTAAATAGTAGTACCCTTTTAGCTTTATGAGGATTAAATGAGGTAACACATAATTCTCAGTAAATATGAGTTATATTATTACTACTAAGCCAGGGTTAATTATTCTAGCAAGGTCTTTACTACATTACATTTTGAGAATAACCTGTCTCACACCTTATTAAAAAGGGATTTGGTTCTACATTTTAAAGCAGAAGCAAAAATAATTAAATCACAGAAATGAGCCAATTAGTTAACTAATAATTAACTTGTTAAGGGATAACAATAGATTCTAGATGTGTCAAAGGAAAATTCACTTCTTTCGACTTTAACGTTAAAGGAACAAAAATGTATGAGTCAGGGGTGGCAGGAAATTGATCTCTGTTAAGATGTCCAGGCATTGTGCTCACCACAGTCACTACATGTCAACAAGTCAGTATTTTCAGGAGAATAGTTTTTTTTCCCTTCCTTAAGGAGAAGTGCTACAAAATAAAAAACAACCAAAAGAAAAATACGCCGAAGCCTTAGAAAGTGGATTTACCAAGTACGCCAAACACAAAGCAGTGGTTCAAAGAGCAGTTCAACTTTAATCATTTATTCTGCAGAACAAAAAAGAAAACAAATACTCTCTGAATTCAAAATCACATTTACTAACACAATGGTAAATATAATGCACTAGGAATTTATGCCCCTTCAGTATATATTGTTATTTTTACTTTACCCACTGAATGCTGAGGAAAATACTGAATACACATTTTATTAAAAACACACAAACTGTTACAAATTGATATAAATCAGTCTCCACTCCATCCAAACTTTGGCTTACATACCCTTAAATAAAAAACAACAATGCTGTAGGCCACCAAAAACCTCTGGATAAAGACAGTAAATTAAGTACTAAAGTTGACAATCAAACAGGAAAGAGCTATAAACCAAAACACAAAGTGAAATAATGAAGAAAAATGACAACTCGTGCGGAAGTCTGGATAAATTTTTATATACTCAAGCCTGAGAAAAGAATTTCCCTACAATGTTGGTTTTTAAGAGGACATTTCTAGGTTAAACTAAACACCAAAGAGAAGGGAATTTCCCTAAAGAGTTTTCTGAGCCAAAGGAAAATCAAATTATGCTTGAAAAACAAAAGCAAAGACTAGTAATGTCTGCCTCTTTGCCCCAACCCACTTCAGATTTGCTTCGGTGTAGGTTTTCCTGCTCAAGGCCATTTATAATTTTATGCTCTCAATACATCCAAATCTAGACTTAACCCTCTGTGCTCCCAATGGGTTGATGAATGGGACAATTATATTTAGTCCCTCATGAGTTGGGAAACTGCATCCTGGATCTAATAAGACATACATAGACATACTAAGCCTCAGATTGAAGAAACAGCAACTTATTGACAAAAGGACATTATTTATGGCCACTATTAAAAAATGACTTCTTCTTGTATAATTTTAAGGAAACATAGAGGCACGATTTAAACAAACAATTTCTCACAATATTTTGTATGCTCACATTTTTATGTAAAAAACATAAAGCAAATAATGCTGACCTCAAGTTTTTAAAAAAAGTTTTAAAAAAGCTAATAAGCATGAGTTCATATATTTACTGGATATTTATGATTTTAAAAGAAAAAGAGCTGACAAAATGATGCTAGAAAATAAAGTGACATAGTAAATTTTCAACTGTGCATTTCTAGTTCCTTTGCCAAAGACTGTAAAAATTTGTAAAAATATCTGATAAAAGTAAATACATGATGGTGTACTAAAGGCTTTCCACAACTGGAGACACATTTAAAAATGTATATATTTAGTTGGAAGAGGAAGTAGCAGGAAGAGCCTTTCACCTATAATGACCATGTTAGAGTTCATTAGAAAATATCATTTATGAGTCAAATACACATGAGACCTATCTTCAAATGTCCACTAGGTACAATGGCAAATAACAGAATGTGAGAGTCAGGGGACACTGGCTTTCTAAATACAATTAACACTGTTATCTCTGTTGTACTAATAACTAGGATTGTTTAAAATGGTAGCTTTAAGAAAAGCTTATTTTTGAAAACATAACTTAATAAAACCCTTATCAAATATTATGGTAGGTTTTTCCTTTTATATGGTGAAAGAATAAAAAAAAGGCAAGTGGAATTATTCAAGAAGAAATAATAGAAATTATATACCTCAAGCAGAAGTGCTAGAATAGGGTGAAGAAAAATGACAATAACCATGACTATTTGAGGTTGTATGGTTATTTTAATGTACTTTTAACTATGATTTTAATGTACTTTTGTATGTATTTCTTAAATAAATACATATGAAAGTGAAAGTTAACATACAGATATCTGACATTTTCATTTTCTATTCTCAAGGGTATATTTTTAACCCTGGGACAAAATTAGTAGCCCAAATCTTTATTCTCCCTTAGACTAATTTTTGTTCTTGTCTTCTCTACTCTCCAAATCTGTGTGCAGAGTTCTACAACAACCAGTAGGGCTCTTTGATGCCTCTCCATTCATTCCTGTAGCACCCCTGGATAGAGTTCAATATCCACAGATACTTTGTGTTAACATACGTTAACATACCAAGAAATCAAGGTGTCAGTATGGAGAGGACAGCTAAAAGCAGTACTTTTGTTAAAGTTGGAACCATTTGTGTTACATGGCCCGCTGTCTCCTCTGAGTTCAAGCATGTGACAAACAGAAACACGGCTGACACTGATGAAACAGTGGGATATGGCTGGCGGAACTGATGTCTGCATCAGCTCTTGAGGTAGAAATTTTACTATGCACTATTAAATACGTGAATAATACCTACGTTAATAATGTTTAAATATAAAAGTTTAAAAACTGCACAAAGATGCTATGAATGCCCCTTATGTACACCTCAGTAAAAAGCTAAATGAAATTAGTTGGAAGGTTTAGAATGAGACTGCTTTCTTAATGAATTTTTTTAAATATGTTTTTTATTTTTATTTTTTTAGAGAGAGCAGGAGTGGGAGGGGAGGGAGGGAGAGAGAGAGAGAAAGAGAGAGGGAGAGAGAGAGAGAAAGAGGAGGGAGGGAGGGAGAGAACCATTGATGTGAGAGAGAAACATCATTGGTTAACTACTGCACGCACCCCGACCGGGGATTGAACCTGCTACCTGGGTATGTGCCCTGACCGGAAATTGAATCCACAACTTTTCAGTGCACCAGACAACACTCAACCCATTTAGCCACACTGGCCAGGGCTCTTTATGAATTTTTAAATACATATATATTTCTTTAGACTTTTTATATAATCTTCTATACATTGATTTTCAATTTATTTACAGTCCTTTTATCTCAACTTAAGGAAGGAAAAACAAATCTTTAGGAGGTTAGCTATCTCAGTAAAAACTGAGAATTCTAAGGGTTCCTTCCTCACCTATATCATAAAATTCTGTAAATTCATTTTTTGTTTTAAAATACTGGTTTTGAACAACTGAGTGCTACATCTACATCTCTTCAGATGACTAGAAAACTAACTAGCCAGCTTTAGAGGTGGTTGTCTTAAATTAGTAAGGGGACATCCCCACGAGTTTTTCTCAGAGGCAGGCAGAGGGAAGAAGTATGTATCTGAGGAAGATGCGGTGGAGAGAAACTGGTCAGGGACAGCAAAGAGGTGTTTCCTTCTCAGTGTTCCAGGGGCTCCTCTATGACAGAGGGTGAAAACACAATTGTGTGTTTTGTCAGTTTGTGTAGTAGACATAAGTTTTGGCTTGTCTCAAAAATGGCCTTCTATAAGCACTTACAAAAACTTTACCTGATCCTGACACGCCTCATTTAAAACTTGAACACACAAACCCTGGCATGGACAGGGCAGGGAAGGAGGAGAGCTGGCACAAGAAAGTCAAGACGGTGCTTAAATGCAAAGTTGAAGAAGGAATCTTGGCTTCTGATCCACTGGACTAGGAAACAGCATGATCATTAAAAACAATGGAAGAGAATGAAATGTTGAGCTAATAATTAATAATGACCTACGATGCTGGCAAGGAACAGTTGAAAAGCACAGTCACGGGACAAGAGAACAGCCACTACTGTTCACTTTTTCATTTTCCCTTTAGATAGAATCTCTGCGTAAGGGGTGTGAATGAAGTCATAAAGCTGCTTAGCATTTGCAGCGTTCCCCAGAACACCTGCGAGCTCCTCTTGTGACAGGCTTGCTAATTCTGCAATGTTCTTAACGTGGTTCATCAGGGAGCGACAGTTTTTGGCATTCACCCCTGGCATTTTTAACAAGAAGTCCTGGGGGCCAGGGTTATACTTTTCTGACTCGGGGAGGGACTCAGAATCTGCTGTAACAGCCATGGCTGTCGCTGCATCAGGCTGCGGCTTATTCTGTTTCAGCTCCTCAAACAACTCCGCGGTGGCATGGGGGGAGGGACACCAGAGAATCCGGAGTCTGGGGAAGTGAAGGGTGAGGAGAGTGAGTTTGGAACTGATGTCATTGCTGGAGATCTCCTGATGGAAGGCACCTCGGGCAATGAGAGAGAAAGGCTTGCTGGGGTCAAACTCGATCAGAAGCACTGGCCGTTTGTAGTAGCGGGACATGGAGATGCACTGGCTGTAGAGGCGGCCGTTGTTCAAAGAGCCAATCAGATCACTGATGCTCTTGCGCTCCACACACATTTCTGGAGTCAGAATGTAATCCCCAACCTCTAAGGTCACCGGCTCAATGTCAATGCCCCGACGATGGATCAGAGATGGGAGTTCACTTCGAAACTCACGCATATCCACCACTATAGTTTGCTGTGTACATTTCTGTTCTTGGCCACCTATTGAGAAAAGGTAGCATTTTAAGTAATATCACTGAGGAAGAACTTGCAAAGATGGAATATAGCTATTAAAATTTAAAATTATGCTTCTGTTATTAATCTATGATGCACAGTTACACCGTACTGTGTTATTATTCCATAATTTTATATATTTTCAAAAAGGCTTATTTACAGAGTAATTAAAGGCAATTTCTCCTAAGCTAAACAGAGGAGGAAAGTGAGAATCAATGGGCGCTTCCTTTCTTACAATGGCTCATAAACACTAGCTATCACGTTCCCTCTGTAGATCCCCCTATCGTCTCTCATCATTGCACTGGCATTTTACTGGTCACTGTATTCCCAATTCCTAGGGCAGAGCCTGGCACACTGCAGATGCCTAAAAATGCTCATTGAATAAACTGCCTTATGAGCTGCTGTGATTAGTTTTGGAGCTTTGAGTGCCTGTATCAATGAGTCCAGAGATGGGAAAATGGCAGAAGGTAGGAAAAACAGGAACACTGTAGAACAGAGCTTTTCACACTCCAATATGTGTGTGAACCACCCAGGATCATGTTCAAGAGCAAATTCTTCTTTTTTAAAAAAGAAGTAAATCTACTACCCAGATTTACTTTTTTAAAAAATTAAATTTATTGGGGTGTCATTGCTTAATAACATTATATAAATTTCAGGTGGATGATTCCATAATTCATCGTCCGTCACCATATATTTGACCCCTTTTACCCTCTCTCTCCTCCCCCCACCCCATCCCCACTGGCAACCACCATATTGTTGTCTGTGTCTATGAATTTGTTTGTTTTGTTTTTAGTTTGTTACTTTCTGTTTTATATCCCACATATGAATAAAATCATATGGTGAAGAGCAAATTCTATACACAGGTTGGCAAAAATTGGCTTACAGTTGTGAGTATACAAAATAAAGTTTACTCTTATACTATTATTTATTAATTACTGTATTATTTATTTGTATTACAACTACAACTGTAAACCTACTTTTTTGGTCAATCTCAGATGCTGTCTGAGGTAGGCTCTAAGACTACATTTCCAACAAGCTCTCAGGCAATGCTAATGCTTCTGGGTAAGGACAACACAAGGGCTGTGGTAGCAGAATAATGGCCCATTGATGTCCCTGCCCTAATCCCTGGAACCTATAAATATGTGACTTTACAAGACAAAAGTTCTTTGCAAATGTGATTAAATTACAGATTTTAAGATTGGGAGATTATTTGGGATTGTCTAGGCAGGTCCAAGGGTCCTTAAACATGGAAGAGGAAAGTAAGAAAGTTAGAGTTGAAACTGCTGGCTTTGCAGGCAGAGGAGGGAGCCATAAGCCAAGGAATGCAGGCAGCCTCTAGAACCTGGGAAGGAAAGGGAGTCTCCCGTGGAACCCCCAGGAGGAATGCACCCCTGCCAATACCTTCATTTTAGCCCAGTGAGACCCAGAGGACTTTGAAATTGTAAGATAATAATTGTAAATAATAAATGTGTCTTGTTTCAAGTCAGTAAGTTTGCAGTAATCTTTTACAGCAGCCATAGGAAACTAACACAGGGCTTAGAGGACTGAATTCAAAAGGATATACTTCTGTGAGTAGCCTTCTGAGTGCTATCTACATGCTCAAATCTATCGTCCTTCATACTGCCTTACATTCTGAAGTTCTGTATGAAATGTCATCAACTTGTTCAAGTTAATAGGAATCTTCTTCTAAAAGACCTAGGTAATCCAAGGACCATGTCCATCAGAAGCCTGAGAGGCTGACCCCATTTCAGATCTACTGAACTGGAATGTCTATGAACTAAGGCCTGTAAATCTACAGTTTTAACAAGCATCTGAGGTTATTTTATTTTGTTTTTTTGTAATCCTCACCTGAGGACATATTTTTATTGATTTTAGAGAGAGAGGAGAGCTGGGGAGAGAGAGAGAGAAAAACATCAATCGATCAGTTGCCTCCTGTACACTCCCCAACTGGAGATCCAGCCCACAACCTAGATAAGTGCCCTGACCGGGAATCGAACCTGCAAACTTTTGGTGTTTGGGACGATGCTCCAACTAACTGAGCCATCAGGTGAGGGCTGAGGTTACTTTTTAATTTTTATTTTTTAAAAATATATCTTTATTGATTTCAGAGAGAGGAAAGGAGAGGGAGAGAGAGAGATAGAAACATCAATGATGAGAGAGTTATTGTCCACCTCCTGCACGCCCCACCCTGGGGATCAAGCCCGCAACCCGGGCATGTGCCCTAGACCGGGAATTGAACCCCGATCGCCTAAGATCCTAGGTCGATGCTCAACCATTGAGCCACGCCCAGCTGGCTGAGGTTATTCTTAATTACACTAAATTCTAAGACCTACTGCTATAACTGTGCTTGACCACACAAAAGGTTAAATCAACTCAATCATATTGCATTTCTCCTGTCACTTGGCTGATCTCAGCTGCTGCTGTGGGGAAATGGGATGTGGGGAATTGGAAATGGTTATTCTTTGATCATGGTGTGCTTGGACTTCCGAAGGTCTTGGTGGTCTGTTGCAGTTTGGATACTGTGCAGCAACACCAGTACTGCACAGCTGGGATCTGGAGAAGTGCCAAGAAGCAACAAATGAAACCAGAAAGACAAGTAGGAATGTCCTTAAACAACTCTTATCTATTTATCTCTGGTTCAACTGGCTTCTTCTGGTTAAGATAACAACATAATTACCATTTACAAAACTTTCTTTGCAAAAGTACATTCAGAGTTTCAACCAACCATATTTAAAAGCAATGCTGGGACATGACTAATTTCCAACCTGGGGTGCATCAACCCCCCCCAATACACACACTTATTTTACAGATGAGAAGCCTTAGATTCAGGAAGGACATCGTGGTTAATAAATGGCAGAGTTGAGACTAGGGTATGGGAGTAGACATTCATTTTTAAGTTTGTTGAGAAAAACCAAGCCTCTGTATAGAAACTCTGGAACCTCACACCCTCCTTTACAGGCAACAGGAGGGCAGGACTCACCTGCTTTCCGAGTGTCAGCGGGACCACCTGTAGACACGGAGCCTCTCACCAGGTCTAGGTTTGTTTCACTTCTGCCTTCTCGTTCTTCAGGGACAACCATGCTAGCCTTTTCCCTAGGAGAGAAAACAACTTTAAACATATTTTGAACTAAGTGTGAAATTCCATACTTTAATCTTTTATAAATTATAATATAGAAAATGACCTACATGACTGTAGTGGTAAAAGAGAATATAAGAAACACATTGAAGTCAATGTGCCCAGACAAGCGGTGGGTAAAAGAAGGAATGTTTTGGCTGAGTACTACTTCCCATCTTCCAGAGTTAAAAAAGCTGTTTATTTTCTATTCTACATGTCCTGCAAACACTTCCAGACATGAAATAAGCATGTAAAGAAATGCTGCAGAGGTTATTGAAACTTTTTATAAAAAACATGCTAATGTGTTATTGAGCGTTAACAATAATTTAAATCATTTATATGCCAATATTTTCAGAGTAATCATAAATAGGGATGGTTAAAAATCAATGATTTTAGGAAATGAAAACATACACAATAGAACTTTGATTTTAAAAAACTCCATTAAACACTGTCAATTTTAAAGGAAAATCAGGGTTAAATCAAGAAAGCAAATTTCCGACAGGGATTTAAACAAAACGATCAACATCCCAGGTTATGTGGTAGAGCAGCACTGATTCACTCACTGGTGCATTTATTTAAAAATGTTTATGAGTGTTTCTCTGTGCTGTGCTAGGTACTTTGGGTGCAAACATAGTTAGGTGATAATTCTTGTCTTCAAGGTAGCTCAGTACCTTAACCTGGATCAACAGGACTGCACATTCGTAACAAAGATTTGTAATCAGGAACTACAATCATGACAAGATTGTCAATAATCAAAGAAAAAGTATGCTATATTCAATTCATGAAACAACAAGTGCTGTGTGTTCAATTAGTGCAAGGTATGACAGAAAGATGTATAAGGCTGGTCTCTTCCCTTGTAGAGCTTGCAACTGAGTTGAGGAAACAAAGCAACCACGGGGAGTTGGGGGGATGGGGAACACTGAACAAACTGCAATAAAGGAGACCAGGGTAAGGTGAAAAAGAAGAATCTTCAATATTAACCAATAGTTTCAACAAGGGTTAAAACACCAAAGATTTTCCAGTGGAAGAAAACGAAACCAGATGGACCAACTCTCCAACCACTCTGGATGGCAAAGGAAGTTTTAGAGCAGGGCACCTAAATGATACTACTAAAGAACAGAAATTATATATTTTAATTTCTATACTATTTGAAATGATATACAAATGCACAGTGATAATCAGTACAACATTTTATACACAAGGTGGTAGACAATAGTTCCAGTTCCATTTTTCCTCCTTATGCTTAATATTAGTGTCAAGTGTTGTCTACTAAAAAATTCTGTGCAATGACAATGGCTGTGGCAGCCGCTCATTACTGTTTCATTACATCTACTAGACTCTAGTTAAGGACCAAGGACCCATCATTCAAAAAAATTATTGCTCTTAAATTACTTTTTCTTTTAACATTTGGGTTAATGTTGGGGATTTTTCTCTCTCTTTATTCCTGTTCTTTACTGGCTAAGCTACATATCACATCTGGGGGTACCCCAGTCTCCTGATTAATTTGTAAGCTGGAGTGGCTGGACAGCATGGTTACAGTGCAGACTCTGGATGATCCTTATTTCCTGGGTTTGAAACTACTTACTGGCTGTGTGGCCTTAGGCAAGTCATTTAATGGCTTAGTGCCTTGATTTCATCTGTACAATGGGGATAATAATAAGACCTGCCTCAAAAGATTGTTATAAGGACACACATTCTATGTAAGGCACTCAGAACAGTGCCTAGCATGTAATAAGCACTAGGGAAAGGTCAGCTGTTATTATATGTGTACCTTTCTTATAATGTGGTAACCTCATCCCCTAATTATCCATGATTATGCTAAAACACTGAAGATTACTTTCAAATGATTCCACAACTGCTCCAATTAATACTGTTAAATAAAACAGCTAGTTTACCATGAAATGTTATAACAAAACTGTAAACTGAATCTGAGAAAGTATAAACTCCTGAAACCACGGTTGTGAAGAAAATAATGTCTTCTTAACCAGTAACTCAAATTAACAGAAATTTGCCATAATTATAAATATTCTGTCCCTTGTTTTGAACATTTATCATAGTTATTCAAGTTAATCTATGTGACAGACACAGTTAAAAAATTCAGATTCCTATTTCCACTCAATGTAAAGTGCTGAGGTTTCTTAGTTCTGCTTCAACATCTTCAGTGACACTTGAACAGCTTGTACATGACAATACAGAGAGGAGGGGCTGAACTAGAGTCTCTTCCAGTGGGAACTTATTCAAGCCCTCGGGCTAACCCATTTAGTGATCATATTTTCTAACTGTAACATTTCAGATAATCTCAGCCCTTCCTTTGAAAGGCAGTGACCTCTCCAAAACTATGTATACTCAGAATGTTATTGCTAATTTTTCAACCCAGGGAGCATTTTATTATCAATACTTAAAGGGGCAATCTTTCTTCTCTCTACTCATCTGTAATCTACTGATCTTCAGTCCTGTCAAACAATCTTTTCAGCACCAGCTTGCTTGATTCATTCTTCTCTGCTTATTTTAAATAGTGGCACTGCTTTTGCTCTTACAACATCACCATGGAGGTCCTGGCACAAGCACATTATCTGACTCTGACATTAAATTTTTCTGCAAGTGCAGGTTCAGTGCAAATGCTCTCTTAGCAATGCACCTCACATATATTTTGCTTTTCAAAACAAACACTTCTCAAATTCCCCAGGTTTTTTGGGAAAGTAAATATCTTAAGATTCTAAATAGTATAACTCTCTGATTGCTATGTAATATGGGAAGATCTAACTTACAATAAGTAGACAATCACCACTGAGAGAGTTTAGAAAATTATGCCAGGCCACAGATAAAATTACATTAAAATCTGCTATGGAAACTACTGTATAGATTGAAACGTAGGAGACAGTCCACATTTGGGGTTCTGCTGAGTAAGATTTCTAGTTAAGTGCCAGGCTTATCTACACCTCTTCACTGAGCCCTTTGATGTGTAGAATCATTTATACAAACCAGGAATGACATGGGGTTCCCAACACTGCTACAATCTACTAAATGTACTCTCTTCAAGGCTGAATTCCCTGACATACTGGGGAAGAGGCAGCCTCATGAAGGAAGCCTGGAGCATAAAAACTCACTCCAGAGGTACCTTTCTCCCCACATTAGACCAGTTTCCTCAGGCTACAACACTGCAGGAAAGCGTTAATTCAGGAAGCTTGGTCTGCTCAAACCTTGCACATTTCCAAGAAAGGGTCTGTCTCCTTAGGACTGGCCCTTGGCCAGCTTCTGGGAGATGAGCTCTGAGTCCCTGGAATATTCTGCCTGGTGTTTGTACGCCTGAGGCCTGGGGCCACACAGCACCAGTTGGATCAGATGCTTTATGCTAAAATGTGTTTTTGCTCCTGGGGTGGAGTCTGTCAGGTTGGTACTCTGTGTCCATGTGACTGACCCCCACCAAAGGCTTAGGTAAGTGAGCGTCCCTGTTGACAACACTTTGTGTGTGCTGTCATGCACTGCTGCTGGGAGAATTGTACACGTCTGTGTGACTCTACTGGGAGAGGACACCCAGACGCTTATGCCTGGCTTTTCTTGGGCTTTGCCTCATATGTTCTTTCCTTGGCTGATTTTAATCAGTATCCGGTTGCTGTAATAAACTGTAACTATGAGATACCAGTTTTTCTGATTCCCGTGGGTCCTTTTAGTGAATCACCTAGCCTTGTGGATCCTCGACATGAACACTAATGTGTGTAACCTAATCTGAATATTTTAGCTTTATGTGCTCACTTGTAACTTGGTGACAACTGCTTTAATTAGAGAAGGCTTAGGCAAAGGATATTTTAAAAAGAGTGAAGGAATGGTTAGGAGGTACTGGCGCACATCCAGTATCACCAATTCTCTGATTCCATCTCCTAAATATCTATTAAATCTGTTCCTCTCTCTTCATCAACCAGATCTGGGCTACTACCTTTTCTTATCAGACAATTGCAGTAGCTTTCTGACTATTTTCCCTGCTCCATCCATTCCTCAGTTTGATGCCAGAGAGAGCCTTTAAAAATATACTTACATTACTTTTCTATTTAGAACTCTTCAATGGTGTCTTACTGCCTTCAGAGTCAAGTCTTTTTTTCTTGTTAATCCTCAAACAAGGATATTTTTCCATTGATTTTTAGAGTGGAAGAGAAGGAGGGAAGGGGAGGGAGCGAGGGAGGGGGGAGGGAGGGAAGGAGGGAGAAAGGGAGAGAGAAACATCGATGTAAGACACATCGATTGGTTGCCTGCAGCACTTGACCCTACTAGGGCCAGGGATCAAACCTGCAAACCAAGTTGTGCCTGTGACTGAGAATCAAACCCGTGGCTCTTTGGTGAGCAGGCCAACACTCTAACCATTGAGCGACACCAGACAGGGCCAGAGTTAAGTCTTAAATTCTTTTTTTTTAAACAATTTTGTGGGGTCTCTACAGTAAACATTTTTTATTTTTTTAAAAATATATCTTTATTGATTTCAGAGAGAGGAAGGGAGAGGGAGAGAGAGAGAAACATCAATGATGAGAGAGTCATTGATCTGCTGCAGCCCACAACCCGGGCATGTGCCCTGACCGGGAATTGAACCCTGATCGCCTGGATCCTTGGCCAATGCTCAACTGCTGAGCCACGCCCGGCTGGGCAAGTCTTAAATTCTTAACGGCCCTCTTGCACCTCTGAGCCTTCACACACACCTCAGTCAACACAACCCCCTTGTCCACCTCGTCTACCTAGTAACTAGCACACATTCTTTATGTATCAGCTTAAATATCACTTCTTCAATGAAGCTGTTTCCCTCATCCCCACACTGGGTTAGATCTCTTTGACATGCTCTCTTATTATACCCAGCCAGCAGCACTCTGTACACGTCTAGTTACTATAATATTAATTGAATGCTTAATTATTTAATGTTTGTCTTTTCCACTAGAGGACAAGCTCTGAGAAGGCAGAGCCTTTTTCTGCACCACTGTAACTTAAGTGATTAAAATCAGCACAGGGCTTGGCACATAATAGATGATCAATAAATATCTGTTGACTGACTCTTGGGAGAATGAAAATCCAGGAGACAGAGAGAAGCACTAAAAACTTTGGATAAGAACAGATAGCCTATATAATACCTTATTTGTTATCATTCTGAATTATTTTTTCAAAACACACATACCCCATATAAACCATTCCACAGAGCATGTTAATAGAAAATATATTTTCATAGGCTGAAAGGACCAACCAATAATTTTATGACTAAAAGCTGGAAGAATCCATAAATTAGGCATGCTACAACTGCAGAGAAGTTGAAGGGAAGGGAAAGATACTCTCCATGCAGTATGCTGGGCCCCTCCATAAAGACTCAATGGCATTGAGTCAATAAACACCTGTTTCCAGGAATGCATGCCCTGGACAAACTGGGTATGTGTATATTTTAGGCATATACTAAGAGTCCACAACCAGTGTGGAAGGATGGTTGTCCACTTTGAAATTTTGTCTAGGGCCCTGGCAGGCTAGCTGCTACTAAAAATGATCACTGCCTTCCCATTGTCATTGCCCATGTCTGAGGCTTGGAAGACAGGGATGGCCCAGTCACACTCAACCCAGGTCACAGCCCCTTCTGGTCTAACCTATTCTTTGCCTTGGCTCAAGGAAGCTGTGTCCAGCCCCTTCCCTGGCTTCTGAGGCCCCTAAGGGATCATCTGATCTATCTTCCCTCACCAAGCTGCCATCTCCATCTCCTTAACAACATTCCTGGTGGGAGGTTATCAGATTTCTCAAACACCTGCAGAAGTGAGAAGTAGCCATCTAGTTTGTGAATATCTCACTTAGAAACATTTTCCTTATATTAAACTTAAAAGCTTTTTTTATTTGGATATAGAACATTAAAGGACATTCACTCTCGAAAACATTCACGTATGTTCAAATGTCGCACCTTTTCAAAAATATTTTCCCAGAGCAATCTATGGATCTGAACTAAATGGGATGTAAAAGTATTTCCCAGTAAATAGTTAAGGAGTCACCCACCCACAGACAATGGAAATTGTACAGGGAGAAAAAAAATCAGAATTCAAAGGAATGGGAGAAATCTTGTGCATGGGAGAGAGAGCTTTAAGAACGTATTTCTTAGCCCTAGTGGATTTTGCTCAGTGGTTAGAGCATCGGCCCGAGGACTGACGGGTCCTGGGTTTGATCCTGGACAAAGACATGAACCTCGGTTGCAGGCTCAACCTCTGGCCCCAGTTGAGGAGCGTGAGGGAGGCAACCAATTGATGTGTCTCTCTCACATTGATGTTTCCCTCTCTCTCTCTTTCCCTTCTACTCTCTCTGAAAAGCAATGGAAAAAATAGCCTTGAGTAAGGATTAGAAAAGAAATTCATGTGAAGTAAATGTAGATGGATAAAAAGAAAACAATATATTTCTTAGATAAGGAGTGTTTTAGTTATATTTCTGGTGTTTTAGGTTATATTTCTTTACAAGCAGAAAAGCAGTTCTCCTTACACTTTGAATATCCTAGTTAACCACTGTAGGCAACTGGCGACGGTGAGGAGGGAGAGAAAAGCAAGCATGCGCTGACCTGAGTCCTGGTTTACCCTGACGGGACCCTCCACCTCCTTCCCCTCTCCACCCTCCTGGGTGGCGGTTAGACATCCCCAGCCAGAGAGGCCGCTGCATCTGAAAGGCCTCCAGGAGTTTGTGCTTTCAGACTGACCTACACATTACCTTATGAGTTTTTCAAAAGCTTCCTTTTCCTTCCGCAAAGCAGTGAGATAGCGCTGTTCCTCAGTCGAACCTCCGTATATAAGAAAGTAAACCCTGCAAGTTGGGACAGAACTCTTTTAGATTGCAAAGACATAACTTTTAATCTCCGAAAGGAAGAGCATAGCATTTGAAATCAGCAACCTGAAGTGCTCAAATAATAACTATTTGACTAAGGATGAAAGGTTCCATTATCACATACTGAAATTAAGCTACCTAAACCCCACCCGAAGGTCTCAATACTACTTGGGTCTTTTTCTTTTGTGAAAGGAGGGACAGAATTCAGGCAAACACTGAAATACAAGAGGGGTAGAATAATTCTTTTCTTAAAACTATAAACAAATCAGAAAACACAAAATCTCAGTAGCTTCTCTTTTTTCAAATTTTCTTTGCATCTCTGCCAAATAAGCATTAAAAGTTGGATAGCTTATGAAAGTTCATGTTAGTGAAAAATAAACAAATGAAATCTATATGACCTTTACCTTCACAAGTAATTCCTCAGTTCTTTTTTTATTCATGTCTTAACAGCACTGAGTCATCACATACTTTTTACATAAGCACACAGACACTGAAGAATATGGATTATATCGGGCTCCTCATGCCTGGTACATGCTTTTCTCTTAGAAAAGGTCTGCTTTTCTATCTTGTTTGTTGCTAAGAAGACGAATTAAGCACCTCTTCTGTTCCTTTCCTTCACCTTCTATCAGAGATATTTCCCCTTTTCAGCCCTTGATTTTTCTTTTAGCTTTCATCTCCTAGATTCTTTGACGCGTGCTCCAGGAAGAGACCATTGCACAATGAGTCCAGAGACCTTAGCTCTCTCATGAATGTGCCATATGGCTGAGGGCAAGTTATTCCCCATTTGTGGGCTTCAGTTTTCCACTGACAGAGTGAGCAGTTGAACTTCCAGGTCCCTTCTGATTCTGACATTTTGTTTGCAAATATCACACTATTTTATTCTCAGGCAACAAAGAACAGACAGGCTATCTACAAAGTTGATCAATAGCACAGTATGAAAAATTTACCAGCCTATAATTATTTTACCAGCTTCATCTAATCTCTTCATTCTGCATTATTTCTGACCCACTTCCTCCATTCATCTCTACTCTGAAAGGCTGCATTGAACTTGCTAGAAAAATTTCTTTTGGCTCTCTTTTTGTGTTCAGGATATGAATTTTGCTGTTCATTTCCCCCTCAGGTAATTGGAGAGCCAGAACACTATATTTTTTGAGAGGCTTCATTTTCTCACCTGATATTTCTGAAGATTGTTCACCTGATATTTCTTGAAACTCAAGAAAACTTGGTACAACAATTCCTCAAATATTTTAGTTTTATGTGAATGTAACTCAGAGTTACTTGTTAAAATTTATAAGAAAGACATTTTAGAAGATTAAAATTACTTGGCCAAGTCACAATTATATTAATTTTTGGGAGAAGTTAGGATGTTATAAATCTCCTAGACGTGTTCAGATAGAGCACCCCATAAACTACAAACCAACACAAAAAGAATGTGGAACATAACAGCAGAGCAGCAAGTAGTCCCCTGGATTCGTTGTTATGTTACATTGGATGTCCCTCCTATGCAAACTTCCCAGATCCATCAGAAAGCAAAATAAGGTTTCATAAATGTAACCAACATCATAACAATGGAATGTTAAAGATAAGAAAACCCACATGCGACTGGTATAGTTTCTGTGCTAAATCCTAAAGAACCGTGAACTTGAAACCTTTAAGATACAGTTCATACTCTGTATAACTTGCCTGAGAGGTCTTCCGGGCCTACTTGCCCTGTAAATTTCGAGCTGACGAACGAACGTTAGCTCTGCATCATACAGAACCACATATCTTGGCTCTACTTCATGGAGCACCCTGGTCAGAGCGTAAGGGTCGCTACAACCCAGAAGTGGGTGGATGATAGTGAGGGGGTCTTTCAGAATTCCATAAGCGGCATCAGAGGACAAGTTTAAATCAAACTCCTCGTGCTTAATTTCTTCTAAGCAGCTTTCTGGGCTGCTGCATAAGTCTCTAGGATATCCTTCCTTGCCATCCCCTTCCTCTTCAAGTTCTTCAGGTTTCTCTATCATCTGAGTTAACGTTAACTTCCGTTTTTTCTTTTTGAGAGTCCTTTCCTTGGTAGAAGCTCTTTCTTTGCTTTGGGGGTCTTTGGGTCTTTTGTTAGACTTCGTAATTCTCTTTGAGCCGTCCTCCTTTCTGAAATTCATCCACACTTCCTCAGCTTTGCTCTCCTTCTCAAAGGCTTTCCTGTAGAGTCTCAGCAAGAAAGCCTCTGCTCCGATAGTGATATACTCTTTTAGCTGGGAACACGTTCGGTCATCGCTTGCACAAATAAGTACTTGACCTAAAATTAGAAAACAATGTTATGTTTCTATTCCCCATGGGCCCCCTCAGCCCTTTCCTCACAAGGAAGACACATTTTACTTTTTGGTGCTAAAGATACATTTACAATTTGTTTAAAAAGGGTCTTAGATGCAGGATTACATAAAGCTTTGAGTAAAGTTGAAGCCAGAAATATTTAATCTTATGAAAGTATAGCCATGGTATAATGGAGGCTTTAAAGAAGCTATTTTTAATTAATAATTTCCAGAGAATCTTATACACCAAAATAAATTCCAAGTGGATTACACAGTCAAATGTTAAATATTAAATTATAAAACAAGGTGACTATTTTTCATCTGTCCAGCTACAGGTGATTTCTAGACTTAAAAACAACAAAAGAATTCTCAGAGAAGATGGATATCTGTAACTTAAGACGGACTCTATAAGAATAAAAAACTGAGCATTAAAAACACTAAAGACAAAAAAATAACTTTATGTAACAATAAATGTTAATATCTTTACTATATAAAAAGCTGATACAAACTAAGGGCATAGCCTAAATTAGTAAAGGAAACTAAGTTCACAAAAGAGAAAATGCATTTGAGAAAATATTGAGCTTATCAAACATCAAAATTTAAAACAGGATAACATTTTTCTCCAATCAAATTAATAAAATTATTATACATATTTGTGCACACACACACAGACAGACATTCTAGTCATTGTTAGCTAAGTGAAAAAGAAATAAACTCTTGCCCGGCCGGGCGTGGCCAAGCGGTTGAGCGTTGACCTAGGATCCAGGCGATCGGGGTTCGATTCCTGGTCAGGGCACATGCCCGGGTTGCGGGCTCAATCAATGATTCTCTCATCATTGATGTTTCTATCTGTCTTTCCCTCTCCCTTCCTCTCTCTGAAATCAATAAAGATATATTTAAGAAAAAAAAATTTAAAAAAAAAGAAAAAAAGAAATAAACTCTTATACTGCTAGAAGAAATGAAAGGTGATAAAAACTTTCTGTAAATCAATGTGGTAATGTCTCAAGAACTAAAAAATGTTAGTATCATTTGACTCATCAACTCTATATCCAGAAATTATATCTACATAAGATTTTAACAGTGTGAAATAGAAAATACAGGATAGAAAACCTGGAAGGAAATATGCCAAAGTTAATAGTGGCTGGTGACATAATATTTTTCCTTCTCTTTTTTCTTTATATTTTTTACTTTTTCTAGGTAAGCATGTATGACTTTGGGTCTTAAATCACAGCACCATAAGTTCTGGGATAATATTACCAGTGTATTTGCTAACACAAGGATTGTGTGCTTGCCTTTACTGCTTTGGAGGATTTCAAAGACTCAACAGATACTTTTAAAAAAATTGAATTTCCTTTTTTTTCTATTGTTTTATTTTTTAAATTTAGTTCAGGGTTAGTCTATGTTAATCTAGTATACTCATGTGTGAAGAGAGTATCCCTAAAAGCTGTAATTTTTGTAAGGCTAGGTCAATGTCACTCCATATAATAGTTTAGGCTTCTTTGGAAAGATCCTTGCTGAGAAAATAAAACCTAACATTCCTTGGGGATTCCAGATTTCAAGCCTGGTAAGTATAGGTGTGGAGATTAGCTGTATCTTTAAAAAGAATTCCTGAGAACCCAACCAGTAAAAGAACCTGCTTTCATGAATATACAGTGATTTAACCTGGAGAAAATCACACCAAATGAATAGATAGGGGGTTGCTGCTAGGATTTCAGTGTTCATCTGGCATTTATTCTTCCACATTATATAAACAAAATAGTAAACTATTTTTAAAGAGCTAATCAAAAAGCCTCATTTGCTTGGTTTTGAAAGCAGATATCATCTCCTTTTTTCCTACCTGGACCACCAAGGGCTTCACTCTCCAAATTTTCTGCCTCGATTTCTTTCAGTACTTCGGTCAGCGCTTCCCACTTTGGGTTGCTTTCTAGGACCAGTTCCTTTTTTGTTTCTGTGTAGAAATAAAAGATAATCTCATTCTATGTGATAATATTTATCCATGAAGTATTCCGAAGACTTTCAAAACATGTAACACAAGCACCATTCCATAAGCCCATTACTTTGAACTTCCCCCATAATGCCAGAGTCTGCTTCCTTGAAAACGGTCTCCTTGTCGTTTAAATCAAAGGCACTTGAAACCAACATTAATACAGGTTTCATAATGCCTTGACAGAAAGTGATATTCATGGCCACTAATAAGAGATATTCTGTGTTATTGTCAATTGTGATGCTATATATGACCTGCTATACAAAATAATCTGTAGAAAGTAAGTTACTTATTGTTTCTAAAATCCCCATGATTTTCACAATCCTGAACATGGACTAGACATAGACAACAGTCAAACTTTTATTTCACATCACTAATAAATATATTTAATTAAGTTTTAAAATAGACCTTTGAACTAGAAAGAAAGTAAGCATTAACCTTATCCCATGCCTTAAATAACAAATGATATATTTGTTGTTGAGTTGTATGAGTTCTTTACATATTTTGGATATTAGCCCCTTATGGAAGATATCATTTGCAAATATCTTCTCCCATTCTGTTGGTTGGCTTTTGTTCTGTTGATGTTTCTTCTGCCATGCAGAAGCTTTCTAGTTTGATGTAGGTTGAGAGTATTGTGCTAAGTAAAATAAGTCAGATGGAAAAGGACAAGAACCATATGATTTCATTCATGTGTGGGATATAAAACAGAAAGCAACAGATGGACAAACAAAACAAACTCACAGACATAGACAATAGTATGGTGGTTATCAGAGGGGAAGAGGACAGGGAGAACAAAGAGGGTTAAGGGGGTAAAATATACGGTGACGAAAGGTCACTAAACTTTGGGTGGTGAGAACATAATGCAGTATACAGATGATGTATTATGGAATTATACACCTGAATTATACAATGTTATTAACCAACGTTACCCCAATAAATTTAATTTAAAAAACAATAATATTTATTATACCTAGTAGATGAGTATTGGAATAAAATTTGCATTTGCCTCATTCTAATAGATGTTCTCGAAAAACTAAAGGGATGTTAAAATGTTCCACTAAGACTGTAAGTGCCCAATACAGTAATTACTCTGAATAAAAATAAAAATCTATAGTTCTTTTGCAGCAGTAAAAATACACTTGATTGATATTTGGCATTTGTTACTTGGAATTCCCTGGTAATGGATTCTAAGACTTACCATGGCGAATGCTTTCAACATACAGTACATGTTACATATAACCTACACTAACAGACAGGCACACATTTTTCACATGGCCAAAAAAAGATTTAAAATTAGTGTAACTTGATAAGCAATTCCATACCAAATATTTAAATAAAAGACACACTTAAAGCTAAGGTACCTTGCTCTTCTTTAATCTCCACTTTTTCGGTTATTTTGCCTTTTTTACTCATTTTGGCATCTGGAACACGATAAACCCTTGCTCGAGCGTTTACAAACATTGAGGTGCTGGAGTCAAGAAATAGCCAACCTAATATAAAGAGTTAAAAAAACAACAACCCTTCAATTTACAGTTAATTTTAAAGAATATTTGATGGTCACATGATCTATATACACACCTGGCCGCCATCTTGTTCTTGATTTGATTAGACTAGTGGTTTTCAAAGTGTGGTCAACATATTTTCAGGGAGGGGTCTATCTTCATAATAATACAACTATTGACATAATAACACTAACTCATTATTTGACTTTTTCCCACTGTGTTGACATTTCCTATGATGGTGCAAAAGCCTTAGTGGGTAGCACTGCTGGTGCCTGAGCACGAGCAAGACAGTGGAACCAAAGTGTACTAGCCGTTAATATATTCTTCATTTCAATGCATTTGCAGTTTTATCACTCAAGAACGTCCCTGATGAAGCAGTAAAAATTAGTAACCCTATTAAACCTTGGCCTGAGGGCCCACACTTTAAAAATCACTGGCCTAGACAAGCAGGGAGAGAGGTCACAACAGTGGGGGAAGAATGTGATCGATAGGAAAGCAAGAGAGTGGCCAGTCATATGTGCATGTTTCCTTACAAATCTCTTATCTTTGGTCATCAGCACTCCAGCTGATGAAACCCCATACTGCCTTACTGTTTCTGCGGGGAAAATGAATCTTAAATTCTTAACAACTAAACTTCCAGAATGCAAGCTATTTCTAGGTTGGGAACTGCCTGTATTATACACTGTCTTTTCTAGAAATAAAATTGCCCAAAATGGATATGAATATTATTATTATACAGAACAGAAGTTAAGTAGGAAGAAACATTAGCTATCAATAAAACCTACATCTTGTGCTAGGAACACAAAATGTAATTTGAAAACTTAGTATACCATGTAGGTGAATATAGCATTCCCCACACCTGATTCCTCAACAAAACCCAGAACTATATTCAAGTCAGCTCCTAGGATAACATTAGTATTTTTATCTCCCACCTGAATTTTGACCAAAAGCCTTCTCTGTTGCTCTCAGAGATTCCAGAAGACTAAGAAATGTGATACAATCATACTGAGAGAGATATTGCAGTAAAGTCCTTAATATCTTCAAATCCTGAACCAAGGATTTAGTCTTGGCTCCAAGCTGGTGCCACAAAGGATCCAGATAATGGCGGATTGTCTAAAACAAGAATAAAATTTAGTATTGCTAAAATATGTTCAACATAGCTATTATTAATACAGATTATACTTTCTACAAACATCATCCCCTATACACCTAAAATGGTTAAAATGATAAATTTTGTGTTATGCACATTTTACCACAATAAAAAAATATCCAAAATACTATTTTCCAAGTAATTGGATAGAAAATTTCAGTTCATAAGACTCTAAAAATAAAGTTTAATTTTTCAAATACAATGCAGAGTGCCTTATCAGTAGAATCTTTATGATCACACAGACTCAATTCATAATTATCCATATTTACATTATTAGTCAGAAGAGGAAAGGCCTGATAAACATAGATAATCAATGATTTCTTTTTAGGAAGAGTCAAAGCGTGCAGCTTGGATATTCAATTTCTGCCAAATTTGGCTTGACCCTATCCTGGATTGATAAAGTTGTGGGATCCAGTTGGACAATGGAGCAGAGAGCATGAACCAGGGACACATACGGCATTAAATTAAGTAACAATGTACCTTAATTTGTTGGTGTAAAAGAGTTTAGTTTTTTTAAATGTAATTCATGGATGGGAAAATGTTGTTAAATTACCAATTGACTAAATTGTTAAATTAACAAACTGACAAAATTTGAATATTTTTTAAGATTCTAAAAAGTTGCCTAAAACACACAACATCTTTAGTACTGTAAATACAATGTACATATCTACACATCCATAGCTACACACACAAACACACACACACACACACACACACACACACACACACGAACATTTCCTTCACAAAATGATTCTGTAACTAAAAAGGATAGGACTGGTAGCATAATAGGGAAGCAGTATCACTATATGGCATCTATCTAACAAATTGAATACTGTGCGGGTGTAATATCTGGAGGACCATATAATTTATAATCCAAACCAGGACTCTTGTAAAAATGAAATGATACTATTAATAATTATTTCATGATAACAGGCAGATACCAGAACTATCTTAGACAAACTGGGACATACAACAACCCAACTCTTTCTCTCTCTTTTTTTTTGGTCTCTTTTGCAAAATCATCTACAAAAGTTTAATTTTCTAACAAGATGCAAGTTATACCTATATTTAGATTTGGTTACTAAAAGAATACCTAAAACAATATTTTGACTTTTACTAGCCAGGGGAGGTTAAACAGAGATTTACTGCAAAACATAATTAGACTATGTTTTGTTTTTATTGAGGATATAGACATTCTATTAAAAGAATGTAAAGGGTTTTTTCTGTGTTTGTGTGGTTTCACCAGGCATTAAATTATAATAAGCTTTACTTTACTAATAGAGGAATTTCATTTTATGTATCATGAAATTAGTTCTATGTATCATTATTTCACAGTAAAATACATGATTTTTTTGGAAGAACCAAAGAAATGAGGAATTAAATTTTCCCTTTTTAAATTAGTCTGTTATTTCCAGCGACAAAGAGGCTGATTTAGACTTTTAAAGAAAGGAACTTAGTCTACTAAAATATGGGGAAAAAAAGTTGCTTGGAATTATTAAAATGTAAGCATTTTATGGATCTACAATTCAGTCTTAGACATTTACCTATTTGTATTAATATTAATCTATGATGAAGAAAATCAGAATAAAATTTCCTTGAACTAAAGTTTTACCATTTTCTCAATTCAGAATGTAATTTTTAGATAACAAATTTCACATTCCTCAGTAATGAAAACTCATTCAAATTATTTTTACTCTAAACAAGAGATGATCACTCTCAAGCATTTTATATAAAACTCTTCTACCTGTAGATATCCAAATGTTGTTATTTAAGAGCAAAAAGTTTATGTTTCTCTTAATTATATTTAAAATAAGAGATAATCACTGCAAAATCAGAATTGTGCTTATTTGCTAATCCACATATTTTACTACAAATGATTACTTTTCAGTAAACCAAAGAAGCTATCTATACTTTAAATCACCTCCAATTTAATTATAAACAAAAGTAGATTCTTATTAAGATCATTGCAAATATTAAAATAACTTACATTATTTAAAATTATAACAAACTGTGCTTAAAAAGGAAAAGAAATAGAGTACCTTGTCAAAGGGTTTTCCAATAGCATTTTCTAAAGATAAATCTTCGACTTCCAGTGACGGGTTATGGCATTTTAGTTCCTTTAGGCATGCATTTATAATGTCCAGTATAGCAGTCTGTATGGCAAGCATGGCAGGTGTCATAGAAACATGGATTTCTACGACTTCAGGTTTGTGTTGCTCTAAAAATGAGTTTACTGCTACATGGAACCTAAAGAGACAGATATTTTTCAAATATTAATTTCAACAGCTATATATTTCTGGGCTCAGTTTAATATTCTAAAGTTTTATTTTATAAATGCAATTAAGAAACAAACAAAATAGAAAGCAAAATGACAATGTTTTCAGAAATACTTTTAACCTCCATGAATGGAATTATTTAAATAAGGCAGGGGTCAGCAAACTATGGTCTGGGCTAAATCCAGGGCCAATTTTTATAAACAGTCTTAGCAGAACACAGCCATGCCCATTGTTCCTGCATTGTCTATAGCTGCTTTCATGCTAGGACTGTAGAGTTGAGCAACTAACAGACCACAAGGCCTGCAAAGCCTAAATCTTTACAATCTGGCCCCTTCCAGGAAAAGTTTGTTGATCCCCAAAATAGGGTATAATCAAGAAACAAAAAAGACTACAAATACTCTTAAATACCATATAGTATAACTAAAATATCTATTAGCAGAGCTTGCAAAATATTTGAAAAATTGAAACCTTGTGTTTTTCCTAGAAATTTACAGAAATTCTTCAAAATCCTTGGGCATTATTTCCCTGATGGGTAATTAACAAAGTGGAAGTGGGAGTCTTAGCCAGTAAATCTGTAGTTCACCTACAACTGCTGTTATGTGAGTCTAGATAGATCGCTGGGGGTTTTGCTAAGTGGATAAGAAAAGATAATGTGGCTGTATTTGGATGGATTTGATGGGCTACCAGAAAAATAACTATCAAATCTCTCTCTCCTTTCAAAAGAATGATAAATGTGGTGACCATATAGTACTTATATTTGGATGCATTTGCTATGAACCTGACTAGCATGTATCAAGTCTAATTACAGTAAATTTTACATTACATTAAAGTGCAAAATTAAATGACACTAGATTCTCGCTCAGAAATTGATCACATAGTGCCATTTACCTCGGCCACAGATACAGCTTCCTTACGAAAAGATTTCTCATCACTCTTTCCACATGACAAAAACCAGTGTCAAAGGCAACAGCGTTGTCTGTGAAAGCTTTAATAAAACCACGTTTGTTTTTCTGGCGAAACAGACGCAAGATGAATGCTTCTTGACAAGACTCGATGATTCTGTGAGCTCTATACACCAAGATGCCTGAGGGGGAAAATTATAATTTCAATTACAGAATAGACATGTAATTTTCAGGCTCACTTTCATTCATCACATTTGTCTTGAGTGCCTACTTGAGCATGGGCAAGCACTGGTCTAGGCTGGGGATAGAGGCTCAAAGAAAGCACGCAGTCCTTATGTCACTTACATTAACAATATAATAACAAGTAAAATATTCAGTAGGTTATAAGGTGATAAGAGCTGAGGAGAAAAAATAAATCAGAGGAGGAGAGGGAGTACTGTGAAGGGTGGTGGTTTGCAATTTTAGATAGAGTGGCCTCATATGAGTAAAGGCCGGATGGAGATTAGGAGGTAAACCTTGCAGACCATGCGGGTCAAGAGAGTTCCAGGCAGAGGAAAAGATATGAGCCAAGGCCCTGGGGTGGGGCATGTCTGGCATAGTGGAAGAAGAATTTCTGAAAGCTAAGTGGGTCACTAATTCTCCTTCTATATGTGATTCAGATGTGAACTTCACAAAATTGCTACATTTCAGAAGTTTGGGCAACATCTGCATCACCTATTAGAATAATTTAATTTTCAGAATCAGAGTATTCAGTCGAGAGGTAAATTAGTTCATTTAAAATAAAAACATCTAATGTTTAATACATATGTGTTTTTTTATGTGGGTGTGGTGATGACACCTCTAAATCACAAAAACAAAATTATACATGTTTTCTTATTTATAAAACAAATACTGGACCAGATGATCTTTAGGATATATATAGAATTTTGATGTGTTGTGATTACTGATAAATTAGGGAGAGACATGAGATGACATAAGAATTCATAGACATCATTTCTAGATCAAAAACTGAATTATTCTATGATGATTCTCAGTCTTTTACATGTAAATCAAGCCAGTTACTTATATATATATTTGCTATAAATGTACTTGCATGTATTTGCTCCAGCTGTCATCACTCCTAGGTTCTGGAAAATGACACCAATAGTAATTTATGACCCCTTCTAGTACTTAATAAACTCAATTCAGATTCTACTATTTTAGTGTTTAAATTTTGGATCAAGGCGGGTGGAGCTAACATTTATTCTACCTAAGCAAATTGTTTTTCAAATATGGTAAAAATTAATAGCATTATTTAGGAATTTGGAGACAAAGGATTTTCAATCAACCCAATACATGCACATAACTAATTTACTACTCAGAAAAGATTCTGTACCTAGTAGGTGGATTTTTCCAAGTACTCTACTGGGTCACACTCACTGGCCTAGATTGAAATATTACCTAAATTTAAAAATAATAAAAATAACTTCTAAAGAAAAGATGATCCTCAATCTAAGAAAATGCTGTGCTCCAAAAAGGTTGTCATTCTTTTGGAACCCAGAAGGAGGAAGGAGAAAAGAATAAAAATTATATCTGAGGCCCTGGGGTTAGGTACTTTTATAGAGTTTTATTTCATTTAATCCTCATAATAATTCTATAGGGTAGGCATTTTTATGATACCAGGAAAGGAAAGCAACTTAATCAAGGTCATCCAACAAATAATGGGAGACCAAAGGCTCCAAATCATGTGTGTCTGGGAACAAAGCCCAGTTTTTCCTACCAAGTGCCACCACCTGAGAGCCTAGTCCCCTTTAAAAATGAATGAATGAATGAATGAATGAGTGAATGAATGAAAGCAACAAATTTCTGGGGCAATTCTAGTTCCACAAAAGGCTACTGAAATTTTTTGTGCTCCCAGAACACTTCATATCTCATCTCATACTGTATTATAAATACTTCTCTACATCAGTCCCCTCCACTAAACTGCCTGAGGACAGAAACATCATAACACATAGTAATCACACAATGTTTATTATGTGCTACGCACAATGCTAAAAATTTTACATAGGTTATCTCATTTCACCCTGACAATAATCCTAGGAGGAAGTAGTATTACTTTCAATTTATAGATGAGTTAATTGAGTCATACAGAAATTAACTTTTAATTAGAAACTACCTGTAAGCTCTACTTTGGACATTTTTTTTGACACAGATTGCTCTCTGCCTAAGTAGGTTGAACTGTTATTGAAAGAGCAATACTGACATCTAGTGGTAGTTTCAATATATTTTTTTCATTTTATCAAAAAATAAAGAAAAATAAAACTTATAAGGAGCAAATAGTAAAAGACTTGATGATGTATCAAGACCTCTGGTTATAAAAAGGCAATACATTTTTTGCTATTATTTATTAAGTGTTTACTATGTACCAGGCGCTAATACTAAACAGTGAAGAAATGAGAAAACTGATGCTCAAGAAAAAAATTAATGAAAAATCAAGTAACTTGCTTGTAAGCATTACCACTCAGTCAGGTGATTCTGACTGTATGGTCTATGCCAAGGCTTATGACAATTATAAATGTTATATGACAAAACTTTCCTCAATCAGTTCACCATAAACCATATAAAGAATTCATCCACATGTTTATTCATTAAATAATATTTTTTGCTGGTCTCCTAGGTTCAGGGCAATATAGACAAAGTGGAAAGTACAATTATGAATTTCCTAAGTCTCTCTGCCCTCCAGAAGTTCACTACAAATCACAATATATCCATGCATCTTTCATCCAACGAATATGTGTTTAGTATCTGCTATGTACTAGCTACCTGTAGCCTGAGATGAACAAGTTGTTCCTTGTGCCTACAAAGTTTGTTATTTCATGAATGAGATAGACAAATAAATAGCCAAATTTTATGTGGTGTTCTGAGTGCTACGAGAAGCACAAGGTAACCTGAGGGCACAGAGGTAGAGCCTCTAAATTAGTTTTGGGGAAATCAGAAAAGGTTTCGAAAAAACAAATAATAATAATTCATTTTCTATATTAATTCTAGCTAAAATTGAGCCAGTCTTCTCAAAATAATTAAGCAACTATTTGGTTTAATTCACATCATGGGAAGAATACTCTTTCCCATGAGAAGAAAACAAAATATTTTAGGATATATACAAAAAATATTTATAAACATTTCAAGTTTGACTAGGTTCTAAAAGCAAATGCCACCCAATTATCATGTATTTACTGACTATGAGCTTAGAACACAAGGAAAAGTCAACCTAGCATTTATTTACTTATTCAGGTCACAAATATTCATTGAGCATCTATAGTGTGTCAGATATTGTGCTAATGGCTGAAAGGACAATGTTGAGCAAATACATGCCACTCACAAGGTTCTAAATTTAGAATTCAGCAAAGGGGGACAGGCCAAAAAAAGGGGGAGGGGGAGTGTACAAATTTATATATAATAAGATTTCAAATTCTTACCAGTAATTAAATCTGAAGGTATTCTATCAGTCAAGAAATCAACCACAAGTATTCGACTTGTCGCAAATATCACACCTCCTTGTGTGTAAACCTCATAGCGACTGTTACTTGCAATTTCATTCGTTACTCGTCGAGGGAGGTGTTCCACTCCTTCTATCTTCAGTTGATTGATAAAATACTCCTAAAGCAAATGAAACTTGATTAGTAGGCTGTTTAATACAGGGGGCCGTTTTTATCAGGGTGCAGGCATTTGTATTTACAACGATATGCTGCCTTTCTCAGAGATAACGAAATTAATAACGAATATACAAACTGTTTCATGTTGATCAAACAGCCAGTCTACACTTAACTAGGGCTTTCTTGTTTTTGTTTTAAGGTTTACACTAAGGAATCAATGCACTTGTTAGCATTTTTAAAAAGGCTTTTAAAAAACCCTGAGTTAAAAGACTTCTGCTACCTACAAAATAATTCCCACTAGCCAGGTTTGTACCACCTGGAGAAGAGATCCGGGGGATCCTTTTCCCAGGCAATGTGCAGACTATGAGTTCTGTCAAGACCCACCCTAGAGGGAATTTCATCCTTTCCCTGGGGCCCTTGGCCCTTGCACGGTCAGTTCAATCCCCCCAGTACTGCCGTCGCTGGGGCTGGGCTGGGGCTGGGGCTGGGGCGGGGCTGGCGGCTGTGCTGTGCTAAGCTATGCCAAGCCCTGGAGAGACCTAGGTCATGGAACAGGACCCCTGCCCTCAAGGAGACTGCGGTCACTCCTCGGCGGACATTTCCTCCTGGCCACCTGACTTGTCGGACCAGGCTGAGTCACCTCTCAGCACCCCCAGCACATGTGTGTCACCTCTCAGCACCCCCGGCACATGTGTATCCCCCTCCTCAACCCCAGGTACCTTCCCCAATATCCTCAGTTCCAGCCCCTTCCCTTCTGATGCTATGCGCTCCGTGCACAGCTCTGGCGAACCCTCGCAGCCTGGCCCCTTCCCTCCGAGGTTCCCCCCAGCCTCAGCACCTTTCACGTCTCCCCTTTACCCTCAGACATTCCTCCATTCCCTCCGCACCCCCGCTTTCACGGATCCCACTCCTTAGACCCCGGCAAGCCCTTCGAATATCCAACTTTGGGATTCCCTCATTATTCCGATCCTCCTACAAACATCCATCTCCTTCAGGAGCCTCCGACCCTCCTCTCCGTCCCCCCTCTTCCTCAAACGACTCCCCTCATTCTCAGCGCCCCCGCATCCCTCTCACTGTCCTTGGTCAGGGACCAGCATCTTCCTCGGGGCCCCTCCCATCCGTCTGTGCCCTCGCGCGCCTGTCAGGGACCCGCATCCCCCTCGCGTCCTCTCGCATCCCAGTCAGGGATCTGCCTCGGCCTCAGGGACCCTCATCCAGCGCCTTCCCACCCGCGTCAGAGCCCCGCACGGCCCTGAGACCTCGCCTCCGCGCCGGGGCCTGCACAGCTCAGGAGGCCCCCGACGCTCTCGGGGTCCCTCAGCCCCGCGCCGGCGGCCGCACCTCCTCGGCCGGCTGCGTGTTGAGCACCAGCACCAGGCACGCCGGGTGGCAGTGCAGCCGGAGGAAGTGGTAGAGGAGCCTGTCCGCGCCCAGCCCGCGGGCGCACACCAGCAGCCCGTCCGCGTCGAGTAGTTCCAGCACCAGCTGCCGCTCATATTCCAGCAGCGGCGCCATAGCCGTCGGTCGAGCGGACAGACCCCGCTCCATGGGCGCCCTTCCGGGCCGCGGCCGAACGCAGGCGAAGAGAGCCGAGCCCCAGAGGACGAGTGTCAGCCGAGCTCCGCCGAAGAGGAGCCGAAGCCGAGACGAGCGTCTCCCGAAGGGAGCCGAAGGCGGTCGAAGGGAGCCGAGCCCGAGAGGACGAGCGTCAGCCGAGCTCCGCCGAAGAGGAGCCGAAGGGAGCCGAGCCCCAGAAAAGAGCGGGCCGAAGAGGAACCGAGGAGGGGACGAGAATCTCCCGAACGCAGCCGATGAGAGCCGAGCCGGAGAACGCGAGTGCTGGCCGAAGTCAGTCGAAGAGGAGCCGAGTGGAGCCGAAGATTCGTAGAGCCACCCGGAGGTGCCTGCGCTCCGGCCAGGTGTCCCCTACGCGTCTCAGGCTCCTCCCCCAGCCTGCAGTCCTCCCACTTTATTTAGTGCCCAGGATGGGAGAGTCGGCGTCCTAGCCCTAGTCCTAGAACACAAGCTACTAAGAAATAAGAGAATGAAATCCGAGGAATTTAAATCCCCGACCTTGGCAACTGAAAAAGTTCATTGTCAATCTCCCAAGCGCGACTAGAACGAAAATGTTTTGAGTAAGCAGAATAGCTTACTAATTTCAGGCCTCTTGTTTCTCTCAGAAAGTCTCGAATACAATAAGCTATTTAAAATAGTCTCAACCACGTGTTCAGCAGCAGCCCTGCCCCACCTTCCACTAGAGGGACCCCTTCGGTAGTATTTGTTCTGTATCTAATGAGAGGAATTACTCTGTGTAGAAATCCCTCTTCCCCAACCTTTATTGTTAGAAAATAGAAAATATAAGCAAGCCAAAATAAAAATCACATGTTATTCCATTACCCAGAAATAACCTATGTAACATGAAGTCTATATTTTTAGTATATATACACATTCTGTCACCAGAGTTCTCATTCTGACACAAGAAGTAATCCTGATTTAAACTCCAAGTTTGTCACTAACATTTGACAAACCTCTGAACGTGGTGTTTAATGTCCTTTCACAAAATCCTTTCAGAGAATGAGATTTCTGTAATGAGGATATATAGTACTTATTTACCTAATCCCTTATTAGTGAACATTTAGCTTGCTTTTTTCAAACAACAGTCTTTGGCACCAATTCAAGGTCAACAGGAACACCCAATGTGCGGAAGGGTGAGGAAGGAACTTTATTCAGTGCAAACAACTCAATAATGTTCCAGCAAGGCTGCGGAACTGCATCTCCGCGTGGAAGCCCTGCTCCACCCCACCTACTCTGGATTGCGAGATGTGGGGCGTTTCAGCTCCACTCCCTGGCAGAACCGAAAGCTGCTCTTTAAGCCACCGGGGAGCTGACTTATATACAGAGAAATCTCTACCCTTGATCTCTGATTGGTCCATCCTCATGCAAATGAGGACTACAAATCCTCACCGTTTGATTGGTCCAAAAAGCACTGTTCTGATTGGTCAGAATGGAGCCTCTCTGATTGGTCTGTGAAGGTGCTAATGATGATATAGCTGCCCAACGCTGATTTGACAGGGAAGGTCTCAGTCCCATTGGTCTAAGCGTGATTCCCGGAGCTCCTTTATAAGGGTTGGCTCAGCCGTTGGGAACAGTGTAGGCAGGCAGCTCGGGGGGAGGCGGGCCTTCTACTGCAGGCTTCTCTCTGAAGCTGGGCTTGGGCGGGAGGCCCCTGTTTAGAAACAGCTGCTAGGTTCTCTTTTTAAATTTGAGCCCAGTGAGCCACCTACTAAGCTCTTCTTAAGTAGGTATCTTCTTTCTCAGAGTTGACGGTTTCCACCCCAGTATTATAGATAATATTTCACTTAACATCTTTGTACATAAATTCATCCATGCCCCTAAGCTGCGCTTTAGAAGTGGATAATTACTAGGCTAAAGAGAAAAAACATTTATAAGGCTTTTCATTGCATTCGCAGCTCCACATTACCCTGTACCAATCTACATTCACACCAGCAGTTTACAAGAGCATCTGTTTGTCTACCTCGTTACTGCTTAATCCAGCATTTTACTTACATTTTATAAAGATTAAAACAGCATATAATAATTCCTGAAGGCTGGATAAATGGAAAGAGGTATCTGTAGACATTCTTCTGTCTACATCTGTATAGCATTTTCTATGAGACAGGTATTAATCTCTCCAGCTCTGCAAATGAGAAAATGGAAGCTCAGGGAGGTTGTGTAACTGGGGCAAGACCACCGAGCTAGTTAGCATATTTCTTTGATTTAGTTCAGGATATGGTAACTAGGGACTCAACACATAGTTAGGATATGCAGCTGAAGTGACAATGCTGGAATTCAGACCTGATTCCTAAGCTGTGGTATGCAGAATAATGGCTCCCCAAAGATGTCCACATCCCAACCCCTGGAACCTATGATTATGTCCCTCCTGTGGCAAACAGGACTTTGCAGATGTGATTAAGATAGAGATTTCAAGATGGGGAGATTATCTTGGATTATCAAGATGGTCCCAGTGTAATCACAAGGGAAGGGGGGAGAAAAGAGAGTCAGAGAAGGAGATGTGATGATGGAAGCAGAGGTTGGAATGATGTGGAAGGGCCGCGAGCCAAGGAATGCAGCCTTAGAAGCTGGAAAAGGCAAGGGAGTGAATTCTCCCCTAAAGCCTCCGGAAGGAACACAGCCCTGCCAACACATTTTGGACTTCTGACTTCCAGAACCAGAACCAAAAGATAGTAAATCTGTGTTGTTTTAAGACACTAAATTTGTGGTAACTTGTTACAGCAGCAGCAGAAAACTAATACACAGCATTCACTATTTCTACTATATTGAGATGAATAAAACAAAACAAAGCAAAACAGATGGGAGTAGATAGTGAAGCAATAATTTTGGAGGGCGATTGGTCAATATATGTAGAAATTTAAAATATCTGTATAGATACACATACACATGAAGATATATTCACCCAGCGAATGTTTATTGGGCATCCACTACGCGTCAGGGACTGTACTAGGTGCTGAGGGTTCATCAGTGAGCAAAGCAAACAAAATCTTTGCCACCAAAGGACTTATATTCTAGTAGGGACCTTGTGTACAAAGATGTTTATTCAGTACATTATTTTGTGAACTATCATTATTTCTCAAGTATTTCTCCTAAATGTCCATTATTAGGAAATTCATCAAAATTTCTTCATGCATCGCTAATAAGTGGGGTATCGTGCAACTATTAAAAGCTCTATGTTGCAAGATACACAATACATACTACTGTACACTGAAAAAAGCATTTGCAAAACAATAATGCATATATCCTCCCATTCGCCCCAAAACATTAGTGAACAAACAATACTTTCTTCTGACTGGACAGAAAAACTGTTAACAAAAGCAGCTGTTTTGGGGGAGGTGAAATGAGTGGTTGGCATCAGGGTAAGACCTTTATATCTCAGTTCATTCTCTTCTGTTTGATTTTCTTCCTATGAACTTATATTGCTTATATAATAAAAATAAAAGAAAAAATTTCCCAGGTCCAATATAAATACTTCATCATCACTAAAACATATTACCTGGTGAATTCTACATTTAATATGTGTGTGGTGGGTAATACTTAATGTCAAAAGTTGGTATCTGGGGAAGCAGACTTTTGTAGAGTCTAACAGATTGTGTCTAGACATTTTAGTTTTTCCATGGGGAAACGTAAAGGGATTCTTTTTTCCCCCTATGCCACTGTCACAATAATTCTCCAGACCTTTCCTTCTGTTTTCGATGTTCTGATTACCAGAACCTTCTCCCCTCCAGGTAATTTTGCAAGTATCAGTTTTGCCCAGGAGGACACAGGGCAGGCTGTCATCTTTTGGCCTTTGGCTTCGGGCTGAGAGTGAGATTAAGCATTATTTTCTTCCTGACCTGAGATAGACCCCAGCACACCTTAGTTACCCTTAGCTTGGCTGCCATAGGCAGGCCACTGTAATTTCTCTTAGCAGCCTCAGGTCTTTCACACATATATGTGGAATGCCTACTAAATCCAGAGGCTGGCTAATGCTTCCTGGGATTAACTCCTTTCCTAAGGCCAGACCACTGAACATCTTAGAGTTTGCTTGTGTGCTTTAAAGGTTCGGGCTCTCAGCTTGGCTGCCTACCGGCTGTGTGACCTCATGCAAGTTACTCAACCTCTCTGTGCCTCAGTTGCCTCATCTTTAAAATGAGACTGATAATATGACCAACCTCATGGGGTTGCTATAAATTAATTGAGATGAAGGATATAGCAGGATATGGCTATTCAACCAATTTTGATTCAGAAACATAATGACAACTGCTTAGCATGATCCAACTTATTCTAGAACATGAGGCACATGTGCCTCTAAGGACTGAAACCAAACATCCCCCCTTATTCTAAGGAGCCTTTGATGCCTGGATGCTCCCTACCATCTAATACAGAGAAAGCAGTTTGTGGTTGTGAGTCATTTGAGCTCTGGTTTTAAAATGTCTTAGAGATGATTGGGAGAGGAAAAGAGGAAATTAGGAGGTTTTATGTGGACGACTAAAGAGTATGGGTTAAAAACTTGAAGGAAGGCTGGGATGTGGGGAGTGAGAAGCAAGCAAGGAGGTTTCTAGGTGGGGCCGGAAAGTCCTGGGACCAGCTCTCAGAGAAGCGGTCTCGCCCTGTCTGGAAGGGCAGGACTGAGAAAGTGGCCCCAAGAGGCCACGTGTCACAGTCTCGCTTGCCCAAGAACCTTCCTACCTCTCCTGCCTTCTTAGATGCCTGACGCTGCCAGGCTTTGAATGCCATCCCGAATCAGTTAGGCTTGCACATGTGTCTCAGATGGTCCCCATCCTATAACATACACTCAGAATGCTCTTGGATCCATCCCTCACGATGGCAGTCAGAGTTTTGTGTCCATTGGTTGCGACAATACTTGTAAAAGGCCACTGTGAATTCAGCAACACTTGCATGTAGATTTGGAACCTATTAATCCCGACAGCATCTACAAACATTTGCAAAGCTGCAGTAAATAACCTTGAGAAGTTTCTTACTGATTCGGTCTGCAGGCAATGGTAGGTGCACACAGGACTGGGGAAGCAGTTGCCATACCTGTAGAGTTCTGCCAGG